TTAGCAGATGTGCAGGTGAACATCTGCTTGATGTGGAAAGTCTTCTTGGGGCCTGGGATGGGGGTGAGGGGGGAGGTGTAGGGGCAGGTGTAGCACTTCCTGCGGTTGCAGGGAAAACTGCCGGGTGTGGTGGGGCTGGAGGGGAGTGTGGAGCGGACAAGGGATTCATGGAGAGATTGGTCCCTCCGGAAAGCAGATAAGGGTGGGGAGGGAAAAATGTCTTTGGTGGTGGGGTCGGATTGTAGATGGCGGAAGTGTCGGAGGATGATGCGTTGGATCCGGAGGTTGGTGGGGTGGTACGTGAGGACGAGGGGGATTCTGTTTTGGACATCTATCCATCTTCTATCCGCCTCCCCCTCTCTCTCCCTATTTATTTCAGAACCCCCTTCCCCTCCCCCATTTCTGAAGAAGGGTCTAGGCCCGAAACATCAGCCTTCCTGCTCCTCTGATGCTGCTTGGCCTGCTGTGTTCATCCAGCTGTACACCTTGTTATGTCAGGACTCAGAAGTCATTCTGGGGAACTGTGAAAATGGGAAGATAGCTGGCTTTGTTTAGGGAAAGGCATGAGAGGCTTGGAAGAAGCTTGCAAGCATTAATACTTAGTACAGTTAAAAGAGAGGCCACATGAAGTATTTGATTCATATGACTGAGCAAGATTGGTGCTCATGAAAACCCAGCAACTTTTCTAATTTGGTGAAACAGTTGGCAAAAAGCTGGAGTTCTGCCAATTAATACATACTGGAATGCAGTTTTGGAGTTGAAGTGGAGCTTGAACCCAGAAAAGGAGAGCAATCAACTAGAACAGAAGCAGTTGTTGAGGTAGTCCAAGACATTACCATGCTGGAGAGGGAGTTTCAAGGCCAGATCGACAAAGGTGAAGAATTGAAATTCCTTGTGAGGTTTACTGAAGTTTGGTGACACATTTTGTCACTAACATCTGGAGGCAGTTACTAAGAACTTATCCTGATCACATTTGCTATGTGATGTCTGTTGTGTGGGGCATTTGATGATCAAATATTGCATATGCTAGTTTTCACTCTTAGAAATAAGATACGCTATTCTGGAAGAAACTGAAGTGACAAGGATGCAGAACGTACTGTGGTCACAGATCTTCAACGTCCACGAGCAAGAGTTGCTCAGCGCCTGGACTACAAACCAAGTTGGGCCAAGTCATAAAAGAATATTGCTGCTTAGCTGGTTTAATCACAGACAGTGAGGAAACTATCAAGAGAGAAAAATATACTTGGCCACATCTTCAGCAATCTGTCTACAACAGGTACATCTGTCCATTACAGTATCAGTAATTCAACCTCTCAATCCTGTGGAGACAAAGCCCCATCTTTACATTGAGAATACCCATAATTGTGTTGTGTAGCACTTTCACTGTCCTAAGTGAGATAAACTTTGAGCAGATCAAGCAGCTCAAGACTGGGCAGTGGTTAGATTGTCTCTTATTGGTGATGGTCATAGCCTGGTATTTGTGGCACAAATGTTACTTGCCACTTGCCTGGATATTGTCTAAATCTCGTTGCATTTGAACACAAACTGCTTCTGAGGAGTCTCAAATGGTGCTGAACATTGTGAAATCATTGGCAAACATCTCACTTCTCACCTTATGATGGAGGTAAGGTCATTTTTGAAGCAGCTGATGATTGGGCCTGGGATACTACCCTGAGGAACTCCTGCAGAGATGTCCTGGAGCTGAGATGACTGACCTCCAACAACCACAACTATCCTCCTACATGCCAGGTATGACCCCAACAAGTACAGACTTTGCTCCCCGATACCCACTGATTTCTGTTTTGCCAGGACTCCTCGATGCCATACTCTGTCAAATACATCTTTGATGTCAAGGTCTGTCACTCTCACCTCACCCTAGAAATCAGTTCCTTTGTATTTGAACCAAGGCTGTAAGGAGGTCAGGAGCGGAGTGGCCCTGGTGGAACCCAATCTGAGCAGGTTATTGCTGAGCAGGAGCTGCTTGATAGCACTGTTGATGACACCTTCCATCACTTCACTGATGATCAACAGTCAACTGATGGGGCAGTAAGTGGCTGGAGTTGGATTTGCTGTGTTATTTACAGGACATACCTGGGCAATTTACACATTGTTGGTTAGATACCAGTGTTGTAACTGTCCTGGAAGAGCTTGGCCAGGGAAGTTCTAAAGCACACGTCTTCAATACTATTGCCAGAATGTTGTCAGGGCCCATAGCCTTTGCAGTATCTACTATCTCCAATAGTTTGTTGATATCACATGGAGTGAATAAAATTGGCTAAAGTCTGGTATCTGTAATGCTGGGGACCAATGGAGGAGGTGGAGTTGGATCATCCACTCAGCCCTTCTGGCTGAAGACTCTTAAGGCTGAAGTATTCTTATCTTTTGCACTGATGTGTTGGGTTTTCCAATCACTCAAGATAGGGATATTTGTGGAGTCTCTTTCTCCAGCGAGTTGTTTAATTGTCCACCACCATTCATGAGTGGGAGTGGCAGGACTGCAGATCTTAGATCTGAGATCTGATCCATTGGTTATGAGATCACTTAGCTCTGTCTATCTCTTGCTGCTTGTCCTGTTTGATAGCTTCACCAGGTATGCCTGGTGCTGCTCCTGGCATGCCCTCCTGCACCTTCATTGAACCAGAGCTGATACCCTGGCTTGACGGTAATGATTGAATTGAGGATATGCCAAGCCATGAGGTTGCAGATTGTGCTGGAATACAATTCTGCTGATGGCCTAAAGTGCTTCATGGATGCCGAACTCTTGAATTGCTAGATCTGTTTGCCCTATGTCCCATTTAGCACACCGTTAGTACCACACAACACGATGGAGGTTACTCTGGATGAGAAGATGGGACTTCAACAGTATAAAGACTGTGTAGTGGTCACTGTTGCCATACTGTCATAAACAGATGCAGATACAGCCAGCTGATTGGTAAAGATGAGGTCAAAGTATGTTTTTAACCTTGTGGTTCCTTCAGCACCTGCTGCAGACCCATTTTAGCAGTTGTACCCTTTAGTACCCAAACAACTCAATTTTACTGATGCTGAACCACTTTTAGTGATTAACATTGAAATTCCCCCATCCAGAGTACATTTTGTGCTTTTGCCACCCACAGTGCTTCCTCCAAAATGTTGTTCAAACATGGCGCATTGATTCATCTGTCAAGGGAGGACACTCTGGTAAATCAGGCTTCCTTGCTCATGTTTAACCTAACAGAGTCAAATGCTGAGGATTCCCAGGACAACTCCCTCATGACTGTATACCACTGTGCTCCCATCAGAGCTGGCTCTGTCCTGGTGGTAGGACAGGACATGACATATCCAGGGATGGTTACAGGGTTGTCTAGAACATAGCCATACCTTACAAACAAGGGTAGGCTGTTGCTTGGTTTAATCAGAGACAGAGCTCTCCTCAGACATTAGTAAGGAAAACTTTGCAGGGTCGTTAGAATGGCAGGAACAGCCCTCTCTTCCAGAGTGGGTCAATGCCAGGTTTCATTTGAGACTTTGTAGCCATTGATATCTGAATGGCTTGCTAGGTCTTTCAGAAAGAATTGGTGTGGCTTTTCCCAACAATTGACAAGTTTTCATGGTCATTAGATTTTTTTTAAAACAAATTCAGATTCCACCATTTGCCATGGCATAATTCAAACCCAGATCACCAGAATGTTAGACTGTTAATCCAGAAACTCAGCTGGCGGTAATAGCACGAGGCCATCATCTCCCCTTGACTCAGGAAGTTACTGTCTTGATAGTTTAGAAGTGTTCTAGTAACAACTGATGTCAATAGCATTCTGAATGGTCTTGATAAAGTGAATAATGGAAAGAATATTTCCACAAAAGTCCAGAAGGGGCACCATTTAAAATTAAGTGTCACATTTTTCCCCCCAGGTGAGAGATGAAAAATTGAGTTGTCCAACTTTGGGATTTTGCCTTGGGGGTGGTGGGAAGGTGGGAAGAGAGAGGAACACAAAACCATAGAACATATTTAGAATAGAGGTAAATATGATTCCCTTGCCCAAAAAAAAGGATAATATTAAAATCAGGCATTTATAGGAATGTGGAATTTGAAAATGCAACCCTGGGAATGGAGGAGTAGTCAAAAAAAATAAAGGAGCCAAACAGTGCACCTTTGCTACAAAATACAATGTGAATTAGCAGACTGGAGTACAAATCATTTTCCATTTATAGATTATAATGACACTAATTCAAGATTCCTTCCTTTGTGCCACTCCCACCCCCAATTTCTTTCAAACTTTAATATCAGTGTTTCTTGATGCCACAGTAGATCTAATACTACTTGGATAGCAAGAGAAAATCTCATCTCTGGTACACAGTTCGATAGTTCATATGTCAATCAAGCCTTAGTAAGGTCAGGATCAGTGAACTAACAAACCAAAATTATTGCCAATTACATGCTGCACTGTTAATGACAACATCCATCACTTTGTTCATGCTTGAGAGTAGACTGTTAAGGGCTCTAATTTTCCAAATTGACTGTCCTAATTGTTGCAAACAAGACATGAGCAACTTGCTCATTGCTAGGTTGATAACTAAATGTTGAGGTTATTGCAGGGAAATTCCAGTTCTTAAAATTTCAGTATTAAAGCCAGGATTTTGTCAAAAACATATCTCCATTGTTGAGGAAGTGATATGTGCAGCTTCCTCCTCAATTCATGTCTAATTGTCACTGCTACAATGAAGGAGCGGAGGGGGGAAGGATTTTCAGTTTGCTGGTTGCTGAAATAGTAGTAGGAAAGACTAAATGTAGATAAATGAATGCAATTGTATGTTCCATAGATTGGAATCATGAAGTGGCTTACTAGATAAATTAATAACTACAGAATGCAAAAAAGTTCCAACAGAAGCAATACTTGTTCATTTAACAAACTGTAAGTAAACAGGATTCAGTTTCTTGACTGCAAAAACAAAAAAAGGAAAGGAAAATCAACAATTGGTTTAGCTGATGTTTCCAAAAAAAATGAAGCTACTACAGTGCATTAAAACTTTATTCAAATTTGTTTAATTACTGCAACATTAATATAGCAATACAGAACATTTGAAGTCAAAAGTGCATTTACCTGCAGACCTCTAGCAACCACATTATTTCATCAGATCCCCATTAATAAATTCAATGGCAAATACAGAGTTTATAATATTGAATTGAAGAGGAGATTTGATATTATAGCTAATTTAAATATAAAAGGGATTGGTCAAGATTTCCTAGGCACAAACCTTGTATTCTCATTTTAAGATATCAAAAGCTCACTACTGAACCCAAGAATCTAAAATGTGAACATCACAAAACAGGAGTTCCACAGTTCAAGTGCAAGAAACATTTAGGAGTGTCAAATTTTACTTCAGAAAAAAAATCTTACTGTGCAATTTTTGTCATTCACAATCTTTTAAACCTGTTTAATGCACCATACATTTAGGGTCTGTTTAGTTGAAAACAGCATATTTGAAACTAAAGTTTGGAAAAATAAAAATCAGCTAAAACTAGCACAACAGTTCTTGTGTCTTGTTTTTAAAGACTATCTTTTCAGCATTAGAATTAAAGAATAGCTCTCATGTAAATGATTGCTTTACTCAATATATTAAGAATGCTGAAAGATCATATTAGTAGCCAAATGTGGACTAAAATCAATTACTAAATACAAAATCAGTTTGAGGCAAAATGAAAATTCATCTGTTGCTGCAATTGCTCAAAACACATCCAAAATGTATTTTATCATTTTGCAAATATAGTGAAATTAGATCACCAGAATGAACAGGTCCCAGAATAGAGATGAACATACAAATTATATTCAAGATTCCCTAATTTTATGAATTGCATTTTTCTGTCACATGTTTTATGCTCACAATAAAGACAACCATTGGAAAAGGTAATCTGTGTGCAAACAGAATATTGCTATTTTGATAGCAATCAGGAAAATATGGAACAAGATATTGACAGAAGAGCTCCTTGATCTACCTCAATGCTGTTCTCGTTTCTAATCTTGCAAGGACAATTTTTGCTATTGTTGTACCATATTTTCCTTCATTCCACCCATGCAAAGGAGCGAGAATGCCTTCTTGGTGCCACAATTGATTGTGAACTTGTGATAACTATTGAAGTACTTGGCTAAGATTTCACAAAATTCAAAAATCAGAAGAGGTGAGGGACACATCCCACTTCTCCAGGAAAAACTGGGAGATGAAGACTTTAAAGGGAAACATGCTAATTCACTACATCAATAAAATTCACAATAGATAAAGGTTTTGCTACAAAATGTTGACAATACCACAAACAGGAGAACTGTTTGATTTCCAGATGTTAAACATTCAAATCTTCATTAGTTTCAAACACTTATTTGGCCTCACTACAAGAAACTAGCAGATTGTTTTAACATGACAAAAAGCATAATTCCACAGGAAGGTAAAGGACAAGCAGAAATACAATCATATCAACTCTAGCAGGGCTGCAGAAGTTTAAATTCAATTAAACCATGATACAGCAAAATTATTTCAAGAGGGGAAGAAACAGAAAAACCAGAATGTTAATCTGTATTTGGTCAGTTTCTTGGCATTACCCCTTTGCCTAGCTAGGGTAGGCTGTGTGGCATGACAGGCTCATTTTTCTCCTCATCTGTTAACATAATCTTGAGAGTTTGAGATGAAAAAAAAAAGTCGATAAAAGGTGAGGTACAGAAAGTGCAGGAGGCAGCTGGAATAGACCTTAAGCATCAGTAAGCTAAACGGCCTGTTTTCATACCAAAAAAAAAGTTAAGTAGGGTTGTCCATAAGTTTAGGTAATGAGTGTCAGCATATGTTATCAGATAAAAATCAAACAGGTTACTGACGGGGAGCTCCCTCATTACCTCAATGAGATTCTCAAACATTGCAAGGACAACTTTTGCCATAGTGACATCTAGTTTCCTTCAATATTTTAGTGCTTATTTACAACATTTTGCAGCAGTTTCAGTAAAAGGGCTTCAGGGCACTAGTTACATGTTAAAAATGAGAAAAAACCAAGACTATAGTGCTGACTAATTTTAAAATGGTTGCCTGAAAATTAGTAAGCGTTCAGGTCAGCAATATAAATAGATTAATGGGGCAGAGTGGACAATTTAAGTCTTAATTTATCTTCAAAGGAAGAGGCATTGAATGAAGTTAGCTTGCTTTCATTTTAAACAAAATGAATGTTTGCCCGAGGACAGGATCTTTATTTCCTCGTATTAAGATAAAATACCTTAAAAGCAGAATGTGAATTATTCTTCAGCTCAGAAGTGAAAAAAGTATGTAGCCTTGTACCTTAAACTTAAGGATTTCCAAGAATGAGATATCCAAAACTCAACCTGTTCAAATACTACAGCAGACTTTGCCAATCATAATAGCAAGTTTCACTCATGCAGTTTTTTCTTCTTGTACAAGTTCTGGGCTCAGTCAAAAAAACCTTGAAAATTTAAACAAAAGTCTTCTCTCTCATTTAACAAAGCAAACTATTTCCCTAAATATGAATTGTTTGGACCAGCTGCCTTAACACTTCAGCAAATCATATCCTTGACTACTTCATGCACATTTACAAAATGTTTCAACCTATGTACACGCAAATCTGAATTATCTGGTTCAGTAGAATAATTCCTGATACATGGTCCCACGACTGATCACACTAATGCAGTTATCTGGATACAGAGATGTATACTACAGTTGATCCTAAGTGATAATTTCACAGGAGGGATTAGATACACCACAAAATATATTAAGATTCATTATTCAATGAAGCATTCCCCTTTTTATTCTAGTCCCAATTATGAGAAAAGCCTTAATTATTTGGTAGCTTGAGTCTCAATTTGGGTTACAAGCAAGAAAAAGGACAGGTATCTAACAAAAGTATTTTAAAATTTAACAAATGCCAGGTTCTGAGAGATTAATGTCTAGTGAGCTAAAGACTGAAAAAGATCCAGAACATTAAAAAGGGTATTTGTTTCATGCTTTCCAAGACACCTGCTCTCTAATCTGATGTGACCAAAATACTACAGCTGGCAAAAAGCTTTGTACTACTAATTTCCTCATACACGCAGGTATCATAAATCCATACAGTTAAAAATGCGATGCAATCCTTCAGTTATAGTGCCATTAAGCAGCTCTAGGTACTTTCCTCAATACTGATTCTATTCTGAGCACGTTCAAGGCAGCCAGCCAAACAGCTCATTTCATTTATTTTTGTTTTGATTAGTAAGCCAGAGAACTCAGTGTTGGATTCTAGTTTGCAGTTTTAAAAGCAAACCCATAGCTCATCAGCAAACATGACCAGTTTCTGTTTGGAAGAGTCCAATTCTCTAATGTTCAGTAATTTAAATATTGACTTCATTCAAGGATAAAACACTGACTTACAGCATTTTTATCAAGTTAATTCTACAAGAACCCGAAATAACTACTGCATTTGAACATAATATTAGATAGTAATTCAAAATAACTGTGCCTTCCTCTCATCAATCCAACCCCGTCCAATATCAGAGTCTATTTTACATATATGGCCTGTATAGGTTATACTGTAATTCACAATGTAATAGGTTTCACATTTAATAGGTTAAGTTAATTTCATTGATTTGCAAACTGTGCACATATTGTTCAGATTCAAGCAAGATTAAATAAACCCAGAACTAAACTATTTTACACACTTGGTTGGTTTAAATTCCAAAGTCAAATATCTCAGTTCATAATTATCTTGATAAAGTGTACAAGTGGTGTTTTGCAGTGCAGTGTCAATCTCACTTCTTTATAAAGAAAGCTCCAATTATTTTTAAATTAACTATTTGTGATTAATCTTGATTCAAAAAGATGACCCCTAAACTCACTGGAAGAGGAGTAAAAAGAATACCATTGTCTACATGAACCTGCTGCAAGAAGCAACTGAGACCGAATGCACTGATGGCCACAGTGAAGCTGTTACATTCACATTAGCTCATCCATGCAAACATGCTTATTTCACAGGAGTGGCATCACCAGTCAAAAAGGAATATTCTTAAACCTAGGCTACACAACAAAAGAAAAGATGGCTTCAGGTTAGTTCTTCACTGCAGGAGGAGCACATTCCTTCCTCGTCTGCTGACATCTCACTCTCTGGTACTCCCAATGATGGTCATGAGGAACATAAAGATATTGATAATATCGGTATAAAGGTTGAGTGCTGCAAAAACGTATTCTTCCGGACTGATAACCAGCTGTTTGTTCCCCAGGATCATCTGTGTATCAATGGCCAAAAACTGCAGAAAAAGAATTAAGAGCAGCGTTAGCCTGGACAGCTCATCTCCTTTAAACGTCTTCTCTATTCTGTAAAAATCAGCCGATGCAAGTCTCTGGTGAACCAGTCTGGGGTACTTATCAAACTCAAACACTTTGGCTGACAATAGTGAGTGCTTAAAACTGGATTTGTGATCAGCAAAATCATATTTATTTAGTTACGTTAAACTTTGCTGCACCCACCATAGTTGGAGACACCAGTGATTATTCTTGGCTATCTTCATGTGTTTTGTTATTTATCTCCAATGTGTTCAGAGAGAAAAATCAGCAAGTGTGGGGACAAAGGAAAAGAGCTCTATAGCTTTCACTAAATTTCAGACATTTCTGGATAATAGTAAAAATAGGATAAGATGAACAGGAAACAAGCATGTGTTGGAAAACAAAAGAAAAATCACTGAAGTGTTACTTTGACATTGCAACTTCCTATAGAATAAAATACTCTAGTCTTCAGGTTCTAGAGTAGATTTGTAGCTCGGGTTGTGGATGCTGTGGTTTGTTCACTCACCAAAGATGGCTCATTAGTTCGCAGACATTTCATTACCCTGCTGGGTAACATCAGTGCAGCCTCCAATGAAGCGCTGTTGTGTTTTCCTGCCTGATATTTAAACTCTGGGGTCCATTGGAATTGGTTACTTCATCTCTGGTTTTCCTTCGCAGTGGAGTATATGTAGGGTCTAATTTTAAGTGTTTATTGATGGCCTTCTTGGTGGCGAACCAAGTCTCTGGGAATTCCCATCCTTTTGTTTGGTCTGTCCTGGAATCCTGATGTTGTCCCAATCAAACTGGTGTTTCTCCTCATCTGTGAATGGAGACGAGCGAGTACTAGTCAAGGAAAACCACCAGTTCAATTGAGACAACATCAGGATCCTAGGACAGGCCAGAGACAAGCACAGGAATTCCTAGAGGCCTGGTTCTCTACCAAGGCCATCAACAAACACTTATAATTAGACCCTATATACACACACAACTGCAAAGAAAAATCAGAAACAAGGTAACCAATTCCAATGGACCCCAGAATTTAAATATCAGGCAGGAAAACAACAGCGCTTCATACGAGACTGCACTGATATTACCCTGCTGGGTAATGAAATGTCTGCAGACAAACCAGTCGTCAGTCAGTGAACCAACTACAGCATACTCTAATGGATATATTGCAGTGGAAGCTAATATTCTGAGATGAAACTAAAAAGTAACAGCAAAGATATTACTTGAAATTAAAGGCTGAAAAAAAAATCACAAGAACATGTTTGTACAGTGCATCCAGAAAGAAGAAAGAGCATAAATGACTACAACTTTTAAAAAGTTAGTGCAAAGGGAATACTACATAAAAAACCTTGACTCTCAGATGTTAGAGGAGCCGATTAGCAAAGTGACACTTAAAGTGACATTTTAGTAACAGACCTAGTCTTTTATATTCCAGGAGGGTACATTTTACTTAAAATACTGAAATTTTGAATTAAATGCTTACCCACATAAGGATTTGAAATCTAGTATGGCAGCTCCCGTTGAGATTCTCCCAGCTTCACAAGCAAATAGCAGATGGGTGCCATCTGATACTCATGTTTTTATTATGTTGAGGTAATGTGATAAATTACAAACAGCAACATACTGCAGATCTACAAATATTGCCTTGTTCTACAGTTAATTTGGAAGCCATAGGAGTCTGTAATTGCAATTAGTTACAGGAAACATACTGTGGAATTGTTATCTGCAAAAATGTTACAAGATCACTTGAGTGGAATATTATAGTCGATAAGAGGGTCATTCCATCAATTAAACAAAAAGTCAAGTCAACCTGTTATTTTCCCCAGTGGAACAATGTTTTCTACAACTTTCCGTTGTTATAACATGGCAGATGGCAGGTGAATCAAGAATCACGTAGGCTGCATTACTGGACCTTAAAATACAGCAAGATAGCTGTATTTCCCAGAACAAGACAACAGATAGCTAGTCAAGGTGGAACATATCCTGGTGCATTTATTTTGCGACATACATGCGTCTACACAAGAAGGCATGTTACATACCAAACAGTGTAACACAAGGAAACAGTGAGAAATTATGGAAATTAATCTCAGTAAAAAAAGGCAGATCTAGAGACTTCAACGACTAAACCCTAACAAATCAGGACCTGATGAACTGTTAAATTTTGACAAGATAGCTGCACAGGTTGAGAGGGCACATGCATGCTCGAAGCACAGTCAGGAAGCGGGGGCGCAGGCAGAGCACACACACAAGAGAGAGACTATACTGAATTACTGGGAAAGTGATGGTAAGAAAACAAAAGATGCTGTTGAAGCTTTAAATCTTGTGATCATCAGGACAAAGCTGTTAAATTCAAAAAGGTTCGACAAACAAAGGATTCAGACAATGGCAGTACATCTAAATTGCAGAATGCAAAGTTAGAAAAGCATGTTCCTTGTCTTCAGCAAGACCTGGTGAAAAGTTCAAAATGAATAAACAAATCCACATTGGCTATATGAAAGGGAATTTATGTTTGACAAGCAAGTGCTTTTTTATTTATTAGGATAGATAACAATAGATATAGTAGAAGAGATACTCAGGAAGGTGCCAAGTGGTCAAGATAATGGTTCACCTGAATTGGTTTGCAATATATTAGCATGTACAGAGGATTGGTGAAATGGACAGGAAGCCACCAGTTAGGTTATGTTTTGTTTTAAATTTGTTCACAAGTTGAGGGAACCAGGCCAGCATTTATTGCCCAGGAGGGTAGTTAAGAGTCCATCCCCACATTGCTATGGGTCAGGAGTCAAATGTGGGCAAGGACAGCGGTTTCTTTTCTTACACAGGGCATTAGTGAACCAAATGGGTTTTTCCAATAATTCACAGATGTGATCATTATTAGACAGAATATTGATGTATAAAACTTGTGTCCTCCTCACACTTAACTCTGCACTGTCAAACTTAGATGACACATTAATAACAGATAAAAGAGTAATGTAGATCAAATAGCTGGAGGTGCTAGGACTGATTTCTTCAGACACTCCACTAGTCACAACTTGAAAATATCCCACTGAGGGAGAGGCAATGGCCAAGACTGTTAATCAAGAGACCCAGGTAATGTTTTGGGGGAAAAACCTGAAAAAACTGTGGATGCTGTAAATCAGGAACAAAAACAGAGGTTGCTGGAAAAGCTCAGCAGGTCTGGCAGCATCCAAAGGGAAGAAAAAAAAAACCAGTTAATGTTTTGGGTCCACTGATCCTTCCTCAGTTCTGAAAAAGGTAGCTGCACAGGTTATGAGATCCTTCCTCAGTAATACATAGAGCAGTACAGGCCCTTCGGCCCAAGATGTTGTGCCAAACTTTTACCCTAAACCTAAGGTCTAACCAACCTCCACCCCTACCTTATATTATCACCCATATGCCTATCTAATAGCCACTTAAACATCCCTAATGAGGCAAACTCCACTACCCTCTCCAGCAATGCATTCCACACCCCTACCACTAAGTAAAGAACCTACCTCCGATGTCTCCCCTATAATCTACCTCCACTCACTTTAAAACTATGTCCCCTCGTAATAGCTACCTCCACCCTAGGAAAAAGTCTCTGGCTGTCTACTCTATCTATACCTCTGATCATTTTGTACACCTCTATCAAGTTACCTCTTATCCTGCATCATTCCAAAGAGAAAAGCCCTGGCTTTCAACCATTCCTCGTAAGGCCTTCCCTCCATTCCAGGCAACATCCTGGTAAATCTCCTCTGCACCTTTTCCAACGCCTCCACATCTTTCCTGTAATGAGGCGACCAGAACTGGATACAATACTCCAGATGTGGCCGAACCAGGGTTTTGTATAGCTGGAGCATAACTTCACAGCTCTTGAACTCGATCCCTCTATTAATGAGAGCTAACACACCATACACTTTAACAACTCTATCCACCTGGGTGGCAGCTTTCAGGGAACTGTGGACATGAACCCCAAGATCCCTCTGCTCCTCCACACTGCCAAGAATCTTTCCACTACCTGTATTCTGCTTTCAAATTTGTCCTTCCAAAATGAATCACCTCACTTTTCGGGGTCAAACTCCATCTGCCACCTCAGTCCAGCCCTGCATCCTATCAATGTCCCTTCGCAACCTAGAACAGCCCTCTGCACTATCCACAACTCGACCCACCTTAGTCTTGTCTGTGAACTTACTAATCCACCCTTCCACTCCTACATCCAAAATCATTTAAAAATCAAAATCAAATAGAAGAGGACCCAGAACAGATCCTTGTGGTACACCACTCATAACTGAGCAGCATGTTGAATAGTTTCTGTCCGCTACCACCCTTTGTCTTCTAAGGGTCAGCCAATTCTGAATCCAATCTGCCACATTTCCCCTTATCCCATGCCTCCTTACTTTCTGCATGAGCCTACCATAGGGAACCTGATCAAACACCTTAAGTCTATGTATACCACATCCGCTGCTCTACCTTCATCCACATGCTTGGTAATGTTAATGTTAACCAGTAATGCTAACTGGACTTTTTTTTTTTTAAAAAAAACACTTCCCTTCATGGATGCTGCCAGACCTGCTGAGCTTTTCCAGGTAAGTTTGTTAATGTTCTGACAACTAGTTCAAATCTTGCCGCAGATGGTAGAATTTGAATTCACCAAAAATTAATGGCCATCTGGGCAATTAGGGATGGACAATAAGTGACAGTTCAAATCAGTGATCCCCACATCCCATGAATGAATTAAAAAAGCTAAAAAGGCACCAAGTGAGTCAACAAGGCATTACATGTGAGGAAGAGAGTTTTTCTTCAGTTCTGATGATAAATTGAATATTTTTTTAAAACATCGATGCACACAGATAGACTTAAGTGTACTCATACAAGGAACAAAGATATCATGCAGTTACAGCAAGCAATTAGTATGATACATGTCACATTGGCCTTTATTGCAAGGGGATTGGCGTTACAAGTATTCTTTATTTGTACTGGACTTTGAAACAACAAAATGTTTGTGTTACCATATTAAAGTTATTTGCACGAGTCAGTATGGACAAATTAACTAGATAGATCCCTGGGATGAAAGGTTATCCTACAATGGAGGTCATAATTGAGTTTCTTCTAGAAATAATTAGAAGTAATCTCATTGAAACATTCGGTATTGTTAAAAAAAGGTTCCACAAGGTAGACATGGATGTCATTTTCTCTAGCTGGCGATTCTAAAGCAACCAAACAAACAGTTTTTCAGGATGAGAGGTGATCATTTAGCACGGAGACAAGGAAATATTTCTTCAGGAGGAGGGGATCTTCAAATCAGAGGGGATACAAAATTCTTAAGGGGCTTGACAGGGTAAAGGTTGAGAGAATAGTTCTCCTCAAACTCCGAATAAAGTGGCACCAAATTTTAGACTAAGATGGGGAATTTGAGGACTCTGGAACACAGTTGTGGCTGCAAAATCCTTGTGTATACTTAAGGCAGAAATAAGTTTGATCAGTGTCGGGGAGCAAGGAATAGAGACGGTTTGGGAAAGTGGATGAGAAGAATATTGGATCAGCCACAGTCCTATGGAATGGCAGAGCAGGCTTGAGGGGGCTAAATAACCCTACACATGTTCCTCTAAGATCCACATGACTATAGAAAAAGAGTGGACAGTGCACCATCATTGAACACACAGGCCACGACAAGACAGATGCTGATCACTTGAGAAATCAAGGGATATGGTAAACAGGCAAGTGCAGATAAAGTCAAAGATCATATTAGATGGCTGAGCAGTCTTTACTGCTTACATGGTCATCTTGTGCTTTGTCTCATGTTCTTGACCAAATTGGTCAGTCTGCAAACAGCTTGTCACATGAAGATCTTTACTGTACTGTAGTCTTAAATGATCTTTAGTGAATTTTAATAGATTCTTTCGTAGTAAATTTGAACATGTTTTAACCACTGAAATACATTACTATGGAATCTACATTTCAAAAATAAATCCAGAACATGCATCAAACGTTCCACTTAAGGTCTAGAACCAAGAGGAGAAATCTAAGTGGACCTGTTGTTAAATATAGTCTAATTTTGTCAAACATTTTCCTTTGAAAAAGTATATACACACACACACAATTACATTTTCTTCATTATGCATCAATGCCAAACATGTCACTCAAACAAATATATTTTTGCATCTCATTTAGACAAGTCTGTAATAACCACTACATCTACTGAGCTAGGAAGAGTTTTTTATTCCTTTTTGCAAGAATGTTGGCCGTCATAGCATTCTTACCTTCAAGTCAAAAGGTTGTGGGTTCAAGTTACACTTAGAGGCACAAGTAAATCTAGATCAACAAACTACAATAAAAGGAAAAATCTTCAGAGTGAATGATTAGGATCTGGAATGCTTTGTCCAAATGTGCTCAAGGCAGAGTCAATTTTGGCTTTAAAACAAAATTGACTAAAATCAAAAGAAAAAAATCTGCAGGCCTTTAAAAAAAGCAGAGTAGGACTAGCAGAGAGCTACCACAGATATGATGGGCAATGGCCTGTGAGATGAGGTCATTCTATTATAGGCAAGGTGTAGAGTTGGATGAACACAGCAGGCCAAGCAGCATTGGAGGAGCAGGAAGGCTGACGTTTTAGGCCTAGACCCTTCAGAAATGGGGGAGGGGGAAGGGGGTTCTGAAATAAATAGGGAGAGAGGGGGAGGCGGAGGCGGATAGAAGATGGATAGAGGAGACAGACAGGTCAAAGAGGTGGGGATGGAGCCAGTAAAGGCAAGTGTAGGTGGGGCGTTAGGGAGGATGGTCAGGTCAAGGGGGCAGGATGAGGTTAGTAGGTAGGAGATGGGGGTAGGAGCAAGGACAGGTTAGGGAGGCGAGGACAAGCTGGGCTGGTTTTGGAATGCGGTAGGGGGAGGGGAGATTTTGAAGCTTGTGAAGTCCACATTGATACCATTGGGCTGCAGGGTTCCCAAGCGGAATATGAGTTGCTGTTCCTGCAACCTATGGGTGGCATCGTTGTGGCACTGCAGGAGGCCCAGGATGGACATGTCATCTGGAGGAATGGGAGGGAGTTGAAATGGTTTGCAACTGGGAGGTGCAGTTGTTTAGTGCGAACCAAGTGTAGGTGTTCTGCAAAGCGGTCCCCAGGCCCCCGCTTGGTTTCCCCGACGTAGAGGAGGCCACAACGGGAAAAGCAGATACAGTATACGATATTAGCAGATGTGGTGAATGTCTGCTTGATGTGGAAAGTCTTCTTGGGGCCTGGGATGGGGTAAGAGAAAAAAGGGGTAGGTGTAGCACTTCCTGCGGTTGCAGGGGAAAAAAAAGTGCCGGGTGTAGAGAGCGCACGAGAGAGTGCGAGAGCGCGGTCCCTCTGGAAAGCAGATAAGGGTGGGGAGGGAAAAAATGTCTTTGGTGGTGGGATCAGATTGCAGATGTGGATGAGGGATGAGTTGCAGGAAATGCGGGAGACACGGTTCTCAAC